AGAAAACTGTTTAAAAGTGATATGTGATTAGGTATTTTTGTCATGACAGGAGGCCAGAGTGCAGGCTGTATAGTGGAGTGGACCTGGGGGGAGGGATTGTAAAACAATGAAAGAATTTTTCTTTTACTTTTCCAAGAGGGGAATGTACTGAGGGGGAGGGTTGGGAGGGGAAAAAAGTGCAACAATGAATGAATGGAAATCCAAAGTCTCTGTAAATTTTCATTGAAATTAATATTTTTTTTAAAAAAAAAAAACCCATGCAGAGCATTATAACTACTTCCATTTTTTCCTTCCTTGATTACTCAAGACCAGGCTAATTCTTACTGTCCTGTGCTTTTTGGCATCCTGTACTTAATACCATTTCTCAACAGAGTTGATTAAGAGTAATTAAGTAACTAATTATAAAATATAATAAAAATTTAAGACATTCTAAAGTAAGATGCTTAGAAATTATAGTCACCATTGTTATCTTAATTCATTGTTATCTCGTTGAAAATGGAACCAACTCACAGCTGACCCACCAAGTGGGTTTTTAGAGGCTATAAATCACATGAGAGATTTCCCATCTTTCTCCCACAGAGCAACTGGTGGATTTGAACCACTTGCCTTTGGATTGACAATGCAGCTCCTTACTCAGCGGGCCACCAGAGCTTCCTAATCACTAGACAGAAACACTACAATTCAAAAATTTACTAATTCTATAGACGTTTTTGTTCAGGAAGCAACTAATTTTAAAATCTGCATTTAAGGGAGAGGATTAAAAAAACCCAACAAATCTTGTCTATAAATTCATAGAGAAGGAAACTCATAGTGGTACAAATGGCTAATGAGTTGGCTGATAATTGAAAGGTTGGAAGTTTGAGTCTACCAGACGACTTCTGAAAAAAAGTTTGGCAGTGTGTTTCCAAAAATTCAGCTTAGAAAACTCTGAAAAAGTGTCCAGAGTCTTCATTAGTTAAGAGTCTGGTGAAAAGCAAGTGGGAGAAGAAAAGTATAGGGGAAAAGTTTATTCAGGTGTTTACTAGTAACTGATTATCTATTACAATTACAATTTAGACAGCTACCAATGTTTATAGAACAAAAAAGAGCAAGCATAATTCTGATGTAAATACTTATGAAATCTCTTATGTAGGCCCATTAGACTCTGTACCATGGGTAAAAGTATTTAGTTTTTGCATAGGTATTTTTCCTCATTAGAAAATTATAACTATTTTTAATATAAAGTGACAGAATATGCAAAAAAAATACACATTACAAAAAATTTGCGATATGTCACATGTACAAAACTACTCCTATAATCTATTTCCATTAAAAAAAATTTTATTATTAATTTCAAAGAAAATTTACAGAGACTTTGGATTTCCATTCATTCATTATTGTACGTTTTTCCCCTCCCAAGCCACACCCCCCCCAAGTACATTCCCCTCTTTGAAAAGTAAAAGAAAAATTCTTTCATTGTTTTACAATCCCTCCCCCCCAGGTCCACTCCACTACACAGCCTTCGCTCTGGCCTCCTGTCACGACAAAATTACCTAATCACATATCACTTTTAAACAGTTTTCTCCCTCATCTATTTGAATGCAGTATGTATTATTGAACCCATCTTTCTCAGTCTCCCCTTAACCCTGATGTCAGTCCTGTTTTACAAGTGGCACCATGCAGTATTTGTCCTTTTGTGAATGAGATACTTTACTCAGCATAATGTCCTCTAGGGTCAACCATTTTGAATAATACTGCATGAATTCCTTGTTTTTCAATATATCTCCATTTTTTAACTTCTGGAGATTGACCCATCTCAGAGAGCCTCTCTCTCTGATAGGTATATTTTCTAAAACTTTTAAGAAAACACAATCAATTTATAATACTATTTGAGCATCACAGAGTGGCTGGTCTTGGTAAAACAGCCATCAAAGCTTTGGTGTGCAAAGGAGTGACAGTCCAGAGGGGTTAGGAGTTCAAAGGGAAAATGAAATTGTACAAAGACAAAGAAGAAAAAGAGAAGAGAAAGAAAAACAAGCACTGATTTTACCTTTCTTGAATTACAAGGGGAAAGAACATTTAGGGCTAAATCTGTCGATGCCACTTTTAATATAACACTTATCTGCACAGTTTTTCTTTTCTTCTTCTACTTACTTGGCTTTGATGATATGCCAAGACAAAGTTACGCCAGCAGTAGTTTAGAGGGGAATGTGTGGCTAGAGAGGGTTTCTGCTTTCTGAAACTCTTCACAGAGTAGAAAAACAAAAGAAAGAGGCTGAGAGCGACAAAGATATGATTATTTCTATTTTCTTTTGCTTCCATTACTTAAAAGACCATGGATAGCATGAATCCGGGGGGCAGCTAGGGGAGCTAATTCCTTTGTGAGTTCAAGAGAACCAGGCTCTTTCTAAGAATGTCTTGCCATGAACTATACAAGCAGAAACAGGAGCTTCTGAGGGTCAGTAAAATGCTATTTTAGTTGCATGAAGCCCATAAAGCATAGACGAAATTTGTACATAAAAAAGCCAACAAGAAACAAAACCCTGAAGTGGGTAGAGGACTGCAGGGTTTTGTCCCAACAGTGTTTCTGAGGGGAACTTGATTTGTCTCTTCCAATAGGATATGGTCTGGGGAAGGAGATCCCTCTCTGTCTCTCTCCCTGATGGAAGAACCCCCTGATTGCCCTGGTGACCTGACTGCTGGGGCCAGTCAGTGCAGAAGGGATTGCAAAGTGCTAGCTTTGCCAAACTCTAGCTTGCCAAATGATTTTCAACAAGGCAATTTCCCAACTTATTAAAAGGTAACCAAAAAAGAAAGAAAAAAGAAAGGACTCTTAACACTTACACCTGTAATTAATTGAAAGGAAATTTAAAAACAAGGAAAGAAAAGAAACAGTTTGACAGAAAATCAGTTTAGTGTTAAAACGGTTCAAGATCAACATGGTCAGTAAAACCCTCTGATGCCCTGATGCTGTTCCTCTTACTTTACTGGCTATGACTTCCGCTTCACAAGAATTGTCCAATGTTTTATCATAGTTCTTCTCTATTTTGCCAACGAAGTCTTTTATAGTAGCAGACAATATTCTTTGAAGAAAAGAAAATGTACATGTCAGTAAACTCAGTTGGCTCACTTCCTTTGAACAATGAGCAAACTTGAAAAGGAGGACAGTTAGTCAAGCTGCCAAAATACTTGGGTCAGTGGTAATGTAAGTCTTTACTTCTTACTGAGGAGTAAAAGGTTCTAGGTAAATTCAAGACCTTCTAAATGATACAAAGATAAAGAAGAAATCTTGCACTACATAACTGAACTAAATCAAGACTTTATAAAATATTGAAACTAAACTCATTGGAAGAAATTTTTTAGGTTTGTCTGCCTAATAGGTAAAAAGTTGCATTGCCAAGCCAAAGACGCGGTCTGAATCCAACAGAAGCTGTTTGGAAGGATGGGCAATCTCCTCCTGTGCAATTTTCGGCCTCCAAAACCCCGGAAGGTCACCTTGAGTTGATACTGACTTCACAGCAATGGTGAGTTAAAGTTGAGTCAAAGAACAATGCATTATTTTCTGCAGCCTATGTACTTTCAGGACAGAACCTGCAGTGCTAAAGAATTCAAGGCAAGCATGTTATGACTGTTGCTCTATTCGTCATTGCACAGGTGTCTGGATAATACACAAGTTTCCCATTCTTTCACCTTAAGCAACATAAAGTGAAGCAGCAAGTGCCATTAATTTGTATGGAAACATTTTATTTTAGGGTTTCCAGACCCCCAAACCTACCAAATCATGCCAAGTACCATCTAAAGGAACACTAACATATAGTGTACACAGACACAGTTCAAAACCATGGTGGTCTGATGCTGAGATGCTGAGTGTAGTTCCCCGGGAAGGAGCTTGGGGACAAGGCTCTCTTCACTCAAGAAGCATGCTGCCTCTTTACTCAGCTTGCTACAAAACAAACATGGAATATTAATTTCAGGTTTTTGTTGTTAAAGGGGAAAACTCAGATTTATTTTGTTTGATGAAAATGGATGCTAACAAAGATCTTTTATAAAACTGAAATGGTATAAGTTTCAGAAAGTGGAGATAACTGTTCTGTGCCTGAAAAGGAACAGATTAGGTATTACTTTAGAACCAATCAGCCCCTTGAGTCATACTCTCTGGAAATCCATTAATTTATTCCCCTCAAGATAAATAATACAATAATGTGCAGAACTAATTTAATTTAGGTCTTGTTACTGTTAGAAATACATAGTTTACTTGGTTTTTCTTTTTATTGTATTCCATTTCTTTGCTATTTGCTGTTACTGTTGTGTGCCAGTGAGTCAGAAGTGACCCAAAGCTGACCCTCTAGAGGGTGTTGAGAGGAAATTTAATCACCCTAGGGGAGACTGTCCATTCTTCTGCAGAGTAGCTGGCAGATTCGAACTGCATACATTTGGGATTAAAGCACAACGTTTCACCAGTAGGCCACCAGAACTCCCTTTCATTGCTATAGAAATTGATTAACAGGAAAAAAAGACTGAAACACTAATAAAATTTGTCATTAAAAGTCTTTGGAGTTGCTGTTGGATTGAAAACAACAGTCAATGAAGTAGTATATAATCTTGCTAAAAAACAAACAAGAAAACCCTGGAAGGTCTATTGAATAAATATTCGAAAAAAGAAAAAATTATATTTTAAAGTTATGTTATATTCTTTAATTTTAGGGTTAAAATATACATATATGTAAAATTTATTGATATATGTCTATGTAAAATTTCACTGAGTTACCTTTATGATTTATTCACCTATGTTATCTTTCAAAATAATTTTTTTTTTAGAAAAGGACAATTATACATTTAAAAAGAACAAAACAGAAGTATTATTTAACTATAATATGTGAACTTTGATTGGGACTTAGTTTGAACTGATCATCAAATAAACACAAACTTTGAAATAATTAGAGGAAACATAAAATGAGTAAAGGCATTCATGTCAAGTCATTGTTGAAGATCTGGAACCAACTCATAGCTGACACTCCAGCAGGTTTTCAGAGGCTGCAAATCTACCTAAGGGAAGTGCCCATCTTTCTCCCATGGAGAAGATGATGTATTTGAACTGTCTGCCTTTTGGTTAGCAATGCAACTCCTTATTTGCTAGGCTACCAGAGCTCCCTTTGAGTATTATTAGAATGTTGTTGTTATTATTATTATCATATTTTTAGAAGATATTATTAAATATATATACTGAAATGTAAGTAAAAATAAATCTGGTATTTAAGATATAGTAAAAAATGTGGTCATTAGTTGATAAAACATTGATAAATTCTAAAGCTCAGTGATGCGTATAGTAGACATTTATTAAACAGTCTTTCTGCTTTTATGTTTAGTTAAATATATCTATAAACAAAACCAAAACTAAAATTATGGTATTTTACATATTGTTTACTCTCCCTTTCTCTCTTCAATCTATTTATGACAAATCCTCTAGAACTTAATGCAGTGCAGGGAATCCTGTAAAAGGAAGGTAGCCTGCAGCCCTGGGGACCAGGACTGGAACAGAATCAAAGCATGGCCCTGTGATTAGCTGGGCCAAGGCCAAAGGACACATCTAAAATGAATCTGGGTAAACAGGTTATTGCACCACAGTTTATGTAATACATTTTTGTTTATATGATGTACTTTCATTGTATTATTCCAATACATTTTCCTGACAGCCTTCTGAGAAACATATAATAGGCAACCTTTCCATTCTAACATTATTGTGTTGTGTGCCCTTTGAGTTGGAACTGATAGGCAACCTTTCCATTCTAACACTATTGTGTTGTGTGCCCTTTGAGTTGGAACTGATAGGCAACCTTTCCATTCTAACACTATTGTGTTGTGTGCCCTTTGAGTTGGAACTGACCCATACTTGACCCTCTATCAGGTTGTCAGAGGTAGTAAATTGCACAGAAGGAGATTTCTCATCCTTCTCCTTTGGAGCAGCTGGTAGATTCAAGCATGTGCCTTTGGGATAGCGGTACAGCTTCTTAACCACTAGGCCACCAGATCTCCTTATTCTTACATTGCTGCTGTGTACTGTCATACTGGAACCAATCCATATCTGATCCTCTAGTGGGTTTTCAGAGGCACTAAACTGCAGGATAGGTGACTGCCCATCTTTCTCCTGTAGAACAATGGGCAGAGTCGAACTGAGTGCCTTTGCACTGGCAAAGGGAAAACAAACATCACAAATGAGTCTCCTCCAGACTAGGCTTTACTCATATTAAGTTCAATAATGTGATCCACAGTATTTTCCAAGCTGTCCTCTAGAGAACAGGAAGGACTCTACAAATACATGACTCAAATTTCATTTCAAAATAGCATGTAATTTAAAAAAAAATTTTAAAATAATCATCAGAGAGATTTGATTCAAATAATATGTTAATTAGCATAAATTACTTTCTGTGCAAATCCTGGACTAAAGCATCTTCTGCGATTTTAATAAGAATAATTTCCTAATGATCATGTGACCAAAATGCAGACAAAATAGGAAGCAGCATTGAATATTGAGACTATACTTGTCATCAATAACTTACTGTTTTACTATTCTCATAAAGCAAGCTATCCAGTTTATTAAAGGCAATAAAGTATAAAATTTTATTTGAAAACGGTTACCAATGCAAAAAAAATGTTGTATTACACAGGTAATGGAATGTGTATACATATACATATTTTTATATATGTATATTTTTAAAACCAAAGTCAAAGTCATTGCTATCAAGATAAAGCCAATTCATAGCTGACCTTCCATTGGGTTTCCAAGGTTGTAAATCATGTGGGAGGAGATTGCCCATCTTTGTTCCTTGCACTGAAACTGCCAAAGAGGCATGGCCTTCAGGTTAGTTAGCAGTGCAACGCCACAGAAAGTAATCTTTGATAATGTACCAATTAACGTACATATATAGTTGTTGTTTTTGTGTACCTTCAAGTCGGAACCACCCCAAAGCTGACCCTCCAGAGGATTTTCAGAGGCAGTAAATTGCAAATGAGGAGATCATCCAACTTCTTCCCTCTGAGCAGCTGGTAGATTCGAACTGCATACCTTTGCACTGGAAGCACAACGCCTTACCACTATGTCACTAGAGTTCCCTTTTCTCTATCTAGGCCCTCAAAAATATCCTATATTCTTTAATAAATTAACAAAAAACTGATGGATAAGTTGAGTTAAAGAAAAGGCAATACACAGTAAGGGTTTGATTAGAAACTGCAATTAATCAAATCTATTAATCTACTGTAATACTGTTATAAAACAAAATGTTTATGAATGATTGAAAGAAAACCCAATATAATTTATAAACTTTCACTAGAAAATAAAATGGATGAGGCAGGTCCACTTTTACTGGAAGAGAAACAGCAATGGTTGGTTATCTTTGGGAAAGGTACTTAATGAAATTGTTTGATTATTTGTTGACTGGTATTTTTAGGAGTTGATGTGATCAGAGTTACAGAGGGGGAAACCAAACTCAAAGACACATTAAATTCATAAGGCAAAGTCTTAATGTCTTCCAAAACTTGGTAGATAATTAAAGTATATAAACTTTCTCTGAGATGAAAAATTAGAAGTATGGTCAGTCCTCTTCAAATCTGTACATTTTACCATAAAACATTATCATTTAAATTTCAAAAGACAAGAAGGAAAAACCCAGTAAGAGCACATACAGAATCTGCAGTCTATAGCAACTCTGCCCATTGGTGTACTCACTCCCATGGGCTTATTTAAATCTTTACACTCTGCTCCATCATACTGCCTAAATTTGGAGGTTGAGATGTGGGGGTTGTCACCATAAGCACTTGTTACTAAATTTGTATTTTTATCACAAATACATTTATTTCTAATGACTTCCTTGAAAATTAAGTAATACACTCAAAAGTATTTTTCTTTTACCACTTCCCTCTGTCTATCTTTCTTGTCCTTGTGTTTCCTTCTCTCTTCACAAAAACAATAGCATTGCCTTGCTGAACCAGAAATCAAGAGAAATCTTTTATTTCTCTGCAGATCAGTAAAAAATTTCAGCTGATTTCAAGTCTGAGTCACTTTCTAATTCTCATAGAATCAGTATAAGATGCTTCAAACTAAATTCTAACTTCCAGTTAGATAACATTTTGGAAATAAAATCAAGTAGCTTTGGCTCCATTTAATCAACTAAATCTACTAATTTTTAATTAATATGTAATTCTTCCATTCTGAAAATATCCTATTTCCCCCTTCTACCAATACTAAGAGTAAATAATTGTATTTACAAGAAAGGATAAATTATACTAAAGCAACTTTTCAAAATTATAATCATAAATATTTCATTTAATAGAAACTTGAATGAACTAAACTCTCAACCCTATTGCCTTTTTGTGACATAAAAATTTCAAGTTTAGCATCAAATATAAATGGCAGTCTCTGTCTCCTCTTTTTGGTATTTTGCTTCCTGTCTTTTCCATTGCCCCTGCTGAGCTATGGTCAGAACTATTTTAACTACATGGTTCTGCTGAAGCTCCATGAGATAGTGCACAGTGTGTGTTCTTTCCAGGAGCTGGCTTCCACCACCTCCACTACGCACCAGCGTGGAAAGCAGAGGGGGTGGTCAGCTGTGCTCCCTGCTGCCTTCCAGTGAGTGAGTGCTGCTACCCAGGTACCATGGGTGTCTGGTGCACATATGTATCCTGGTGTCCTATGACAACAGGATAAATAAGGTTTGGTCCTAAGTTTGAAGCAACCATTGCCCATTTTGAAAGGTATCCCTCTCAGATAAGGGGCAGGGTTGATGGGGAGACCTTCTAAATGTAACTAAAAAAAAAAAACAAACCAAAAAAGTAACTCACTACAAAAATAAGATGTTGTGTGATTTTCTGTACAGAGGTAATTTGTGGTTGCTGTGAAACTGAACACTGTGACACTGATGTGTCAAATGCCATAATGGTAACCCATGGTGGACAGTGTTTGGTGGTGCTCCCCGATTAAAACAAGCTTGGAAGCAGGAGTGGCATCCACCTCCATAACAGCTTGCCTCTGGAAACCCTATGAACTTGGAGAAAGGATGAAAGTAACACAAAAGTTGAGGACTTTCGTTCATAGTGTTGCTATGAGTCGACGGCACTTAACAACAACTCAAATTTAGAATGTCTAACTTGAAAGTCACTCATTGCCGTAGAAAAGAAGCCAACTCATAGATGATCCTCCAGTAGCTTTTTCAAGGCTATAAATCACAGAGGAAGAGTGTGCCCATCTTTCTAGCTCAGAGGCCCTGAGGGTTTAAAATCACCTTTGGGTCAGCAGCACAATTCTCTATGGACTAGACCACTAGAGCACTAAAGGCTAATTCACATTTTTTTTTTTAAAAAAAAGGAAAATCACAAAGAACTGATACATTTACTTCAAAAATACTTTATGGAAACTATTTATTTCAATATGTCAGGAAAAATTCCACCACTCACTTTGCAGAAGATGTGATCATGGAGTGCTCATCACTACTGAGGATGGTTTTAAGATGCATTGCAACACAATCTTCATATAATGTCATCTACAAAACAAATACAACCCACAAAGGATTACAATGTTGGCATTCATACACCTCAGGTATTCCTGCTACAACATGGAAAATGGCATGTGAGACAGATAGGGTAATAGCCATAATGAAATACATAAAAAGCAGCAGTACACAAAATACTTAAGTCTATTTCCTTTTTGTGAAAGCTTCTAAGTTTCTAGAATTCTCTAGTTCCTATTATTAAGGAAATCCAAAATTGTTTTAACTTAAAATGTTAAATAGTTAAATGTATAAAGAACTGTCACAGGTAAGTACAAAGAAGTCCAGTGTACTGTCATCAATTGTTTTCTGACTTACAGCAACCCTCCACTGGGTTTCTGTTGTAAATCGTTACAGGAGGAAACTGTTTCTCCTAAAGAGCAGACAGTGACTTCAGGTCAGCAGCCCTAGTACCTCATGTACCAGAGAACCTAATTTAAAAATGGGCAAAAAGGCAGAAATCAGAACTCTCCTACACAGCTTGTAGGAGCAGAAGCTGACAGATATTTCAGATAGCTGTTGAGTAAATCCAAGCTAAACCATCGCCATTAAGTTGATGCCAAGAACTATGTATTGCCAATAGCAAACCTGTGAGGCAGAGTAGAGGCACCCTTAGAATTTCCCAGGCTTTAAACCTTCACAGAAGCAGATACTTCACAATTCTCAACTGTCTGATAATATCTTTTACCCCAGTCCTCATAACGACATCTTTGCCTGTTAACATTTTAAAGAGGCCTGAACATATACACCTCATTGCCACTGAGTAAGAACTGACCCTCCCATAGATTGTCCAGACACTGTAAATCGCACAAGAAGAGACTGCCCATCTTTCTCCCTCAAAGATGCAGGTGGATTTGAACACCACAGGGGCAATGTGTTTGGGCTATGCTACCAGAATTTTCTGAATATAGGCACACTACTTACTATATACCAACCAGCTACCATCTGGTTGACTCATAAAAACTCCACTTGTATCGATCGGGGTCACAGCCCTTAAGGTCTGCAGGCCTTTCTTTTGGAAGCAGACTACCAGGCATTTCATACAAACCCCAAAGAAATGCAGATCTGGTGATATCAAAAGGGGAAATGTTCACAGTAGAATTTATGTAATGGTAGAATGAAAAATAGATTTCAGTATATACATGCAATGGAATTTGTTGAGCAATGAGATTAACTGATTAACAATTATGCCACAATATAGAGGAGACTCACAATGTTGAGTGAAAGGATCCAGAAACAAGAGTGCATGCAACAGTTGGTTCAAGCACAGATGCAACTGTGGATGGTGTGGGACTGGGTAGTTTTGTTGTTCTGCACAGGCTCACTATGGGTAGGAGCAGACTCACTAGTATCTAGCAAGAAGTACAAAACCAGACAAAATTAACGTCTGCTATTAGGACAGTAGCTATGGAGGTAGAGGAAGGTCATAAAGGGGGGTGTGCCAAGGTCTTATGTGGGCTGGTAATACTCTCTTATAGTTTGGGTGCTGCCTGCGTATTTTGATTTAGTTTGTGAAAACTCTCTGAACTCTCTGTATGTTGCTGCTAGCTACCATAAAGTGGTAGCTCAAATTACTTCTATGCACGATGGGACACACACTGTCCAGTTCTGAGCCATCCTCCCAAATACTGCTGTATTGAGTGCATCGTTGTAGCGACTGTCTCGATTCATCACTTTGATGTCTTCTTTTCTGCTGATTCTCTCCTTTATCAAGCATGATGTCCCTCTCCTGGGTTGATTCTTTCTGATAACAAGACTGTGTGTGTGTGAAAGGAAGTCCTTGCTTCTAAGGAGCACTCTGACTCTGTTGTCTCCAAGACCAATTTGCTTCTTCTTTTAGCATTTCTTGATATATTCAATATTCCTTACCAACACCATAATTCAAAGCCATTAATTCTTTGGTCTTCCTTATTCATTTTTTAGCTGTAAGTGTATATGATATGACTGAAAATACCATGCCTTTGATAAGGTGCACTTTAGTTCTCAAAATGACATCTTTGTTAACATTTTAAATAGCGGTCCGGATTTGTCACTGTCATATGTTTACTGATTTCTTGGCAACTAATACCAAGGGTGTTTACTGTGAATCCACATAAAATGAAATCTTTGGCAACTTCATTTGTTTCTCCATTTGTCATGATGGTCTTTAACGGTCCACTTGTTTTCTTTATGCTAAAGTGTAATCCATACTGCAGGCTGTAGCCTTTAATCTTCATCAACTCAACTCATTTCCATTGAGTAGGAATCATCTCAGCTGACCCTTCATTGAATTTCTACACCTCTAAATCACATAGGAGGAGACATCCTATCTTTTTATCTTGCAACTGTCAGCAGATTCCAACCAAGGATGAGTGGTCCTTCAGTTAGCAGTGCAACTCCAAGGTGAAATAAATGTTCTATTAGATAACTAAGTAAACAAATTTTTCTTTCAAATAAGGAAATAATTTAAGTATCAATAGTTTCTTATCTTTTCATTTGATTAAAACTTTAGCATCCTATTGAAAGATCACATCTTCCTGATATGTGAAAAAAGTGCACTGCCACTTCCTACCCACTGTTTGTCTGTGTCTGTTGGAGTTTCTTTATTATTGTTGTTGAGGATCTTCCTGATGCCACATTCTTCTTCACAGAGTCCAGCTTTTGGAATGATCTGCTCAGTATATAGTTTAAATCAGTATGGAGAAAGGATACATCCCTGATGCACACCTTTTTAAATTTTAAACCATTCAGTGTTTCCTTGCTCTGTTAGAACAACAGCTTCTGGGTCTAAGTATAGGGTTCATATTAGCATGATTAGCTATTCTAGGATTCCAATTCTTCTCAGTGTTAGCCATAGTTTAGTATGATCTACACAGTCAAAAGCATTGGCATAGCCAATGAAGCACAAATATACATTGTTATAGTATTTTCTGCCAAGATCCATCTGACATCAGCAATGATATGCTGGGTCTATGGCCTTTTAAAAAATAAACCTAGTTTGAACTTCCAGCAGTTCTGTTAATCTATTGTCCCAGCTGGTTTTGTATGATCTTCAATGATATTTTGCTTGCATGTGTTATGAGTGAAACTTTGATAATTTTCACATTCTGTTGGATAAGCTCTGTTGTTGATGATGATTGTCAGAGTCAAGTACAACTCGCAGAGACTCTATGCCAAGAGGGTATTAATGGTTTTGCTAATCCAAAGGCAGCACCCTCTCTGGCAATTTGAATCCAATAGCAGTTCTGAGGTAAAAAGATAGGCAAACTCTTCCTGTTTGGAATAGCAGATTTGAACCTTATCCTATCCTGTGCCATCCGCACAATCTCTGACACACTCAAGCCCACTGCTGCAGTCACTGTGTCAAACTACATGGTCGAGAGTTTTTCTCTTCTGCAGACCTTCCACCTCTTCCCAAGCATGATGTCTCTCTTCAAGGAATAGCCCCTCCTAGCAACATGCCCAAACTATGTGAGATGAAACTTTATCATCTTTGCCTCCAAAGAGCACTCGGGCTACACTTTCTTTAGTACTTCTCTGTTTGTTCTTTTGGCAGTCTGTGGGTTATTCTGTACTCTTTTCCCACACCACAATTCAAAGACATCAATTCTCCTTCTGTCGTTGTTATTTATTGTCCAACTATCAAATGCATAACAAGTAATTGAAAAGACTATGACCTAAATCAGGCACATCTTAGCTCTCAAAGTGGCATCACTGCCCCTCAATAATTTGGAGGTCTCTGACTACAGACTTTCCCAGTGCAATACATCTCACGATCTCCTAAATGCTGCTACCAAGAGTGTCTTCTTCAGAGAGTCCAGCTTCTCAAATAATTTGCTCAGCATACAGATTGAATAGGTATGGAGAAAGGACACAACTGATACACCCCCCCTTATCAGTTTTAAACCATGTGTTCTCTTTCTCTGTTTGCCAAACAGCCTTTTGTCTAGGAACAAGTTTCACATGAGTACACTTAAGTATTCAGAGAATCCCATTCTTCTCAATATTAGCCTTATTTTATTATGATACACAAAATCAAATGTATTTGCATAGCCAACTAAGCACAAATAGACATTCTTCTAGTATTCTTTGCTTCTAGTCAGGATTCATCTGACATCAGCAATGATATCCTGGGTACCACTGCCTCTTATAAATCCAGCTTGAACTTCTGGCTATTATCTGTCCATGTACTGTTCTAAATGATCTTCAGTAATATTTCATTTCCAAGTGATATTTATAATATTGTTTAATAATTTTCACTTTCTGCTAGATCACCTATCTTGGGAGTGGTAACAAATAAGGATTTCTTCCAGTCACCCTGCCAGGTGGCTATTCTCCAAATTTTCTGGCAGACTGGTGAGCACTTCCGAGGCTGCATTTGTTACTGGAAACACATCAATGGGTGTTGCATTAATTGCTGAGGCTTTACTTTTTGTAAGTGCCTTCAGTGCAGCTTGAACTTCTTCCTTCATTTACCACTGGATCTTGATCATATGATACTTCCCAAAATATTTCAGTGCTGGTCAATTCTTTTAGGTACAGTAATTCTGTGTATTCCCTCCATCTTTTGATGTTTCCTGCCTCATTCAACATTTCACATAGCATCTCTAAGTAATGCAACTAAAGGATTGAACTTGTTTTTCAGTTTAAGAAATACGGAGCAAGTTCTTCCCTTTTTATTAAAGGATCACCTGTAGGTGGACTGAAGTCACTGAGCAGCAAAGAGTGCTTGCACCACCCATGACTATTAAGGTACAGCAAACACTGGGAAAGCACTATGTTTACATTGACCCTACGAACTCTCCTGCGTATAGTCAAGGGTATCTTGAGGTTCATAAACAAGTAAGACTTACTAGAATTCTGAGACTGGAGTATGACAAATAAATAGAGATATAACAACAACAACAACTCATTGCCAGTAAGTCAGAACCCCAAGCAAGAGCTTATTATCTAATTGGAAAACATGTTTTGTTCTGTGCCATTGAGTCATATGCGACTCACAGCAAACCTATGCA